CTCTCTCTCTCTCTCTCTCTCTCTCCCGGCCAGTTTTTTTTAAATGTGTTTTCATATGTGTATGTATGTGTATATATATGCCTTAGCAGCTCTATCCCGTGGCCAAGACGGATTCACAAAGACCGGCAGACAGACGATCGTTTTTCCCGCACGCTTTTCTGTGGCGGAACTCTCACCGCCGGTGTTTAAAGGCAAGTGCGCCGTGGACCCAAACGTCGAGGCCGACTGCAGCTGCTGCAAGCCTCGCGGGATCCGAGAGGGCACGACTACTTCCTGGGAGGGGGGGCTGGGAGCACAAGCTCTCGAGCTTAAACGGATACGGAAAAGGTTTAAATAGTGTTGTTGTCACAGAAGCTCATTCAAACCTGCGGCCACTCTCTGACGCTGCCTTGCATTCCACAGTGAAACAGAATACATGCCTTAGCAGCTCTATCCCGTGGCCAAGACGGATTCACAAAGACCGGCAGACAGACGATCGATTTTCCCGCACGCTTTTCTGCGGCGGAACTCTCACCGCCGGTGTTTAAAGGCAAGTGCGCCGTGGACCCAAACGTCGAGGCCGACTGCAGCTGCTGCAAGCCTCGCGGGATCCGAGAGGGCACGACTACTTCCGCACTTGTCCAAAATTTGGCATCTCAGGGTGGGTGGGTCGGGTATATCCCCCCCCCCACGGGCGGTTATGAGGCATCAACCTAACCGCACGCGGGAAGATTTGCAGATATCAGAGGCTGCACGTGCATTTGAAAAGGCGCGGGCCAAGTGGGAGCACAACTCGATGGGATATTTCTCAGCCTTCTTCGTCAACCATCCTCGCGGACCGTCGAAGCCAGACAAGGTAAGATGAGGCATTCCTGTTCGGCAGCATCGTCGGCCAGTACACCTTCTGTGGATATCGGTCAGGTCGATGCGGCAGCCCAAGAATCTCGTAGGTTGCTTCCACTTTTCACCGAACATGCAGAAGCAAGTGTCAATGCAGGAGGCCGATCGCCACGCTCTAGCTTTGAGAAGACGCGGGAGCAGCCAGAGCCGCGAGGTCACTGGGTTCTCCCGGGCGACTGGGCGCTGCTGGTGCTTGAGCTGCTCGAGGACGCTGATGCTCAGCCTGGCCAGCTCGTTGCCCACCCGGACGGCCTCCAGGCCCGCAGGGTGCAGCAGCTCGGGGAGGCCGAGCAGGTGCTCGTCGCTCCTGAGCCTGGAGGGCGGCCCAGGCCGCGGCCGCTGCGGGTCACGGATCGGGCCCCGGTCGCGGGCCCGGCTCCAGGTGTTGCAGGGCGTCCCCAGGTGCGCGCCCCAGATCAGCCCCCCGGCGATCCATCCGCGAATGAGCTGCTGGTTGGGCTTCAGCATCAGGTCCCAGCTCGGGCCTCGCAGCACGTCCCACTCCAGCACCAGGTGCCCGAGCTTCCTGAGCTCGGCGGCGAGGCGCCCGCAGCCGCTGAAGATCTCTACAAAGACCTGCGGTCGCTGCCTCGCCCCGCGGTGGGCGGAAAGGAGGCGCTCGAAGGCCGCCCGAGGAGAGTCCGCAGGCGCGCGGGCGCCCCCATCGCCTTTGCCAGCGCGGGCGCGGGCAATCGGCGCAGCTGTTCCGACACCCGACCCTCCTTTCGGTATCGCTGCACGGCGGCGTCGCTCATCCACCGCCCGCGCAGCTTTATCTCCGCCAGCGTTCGGCTGCCGATCGCCTGGTCGAAGGATGGGCCGCTGTGCCTCAGCATGCACAGCTCGGGCCGAAGCACCTCGATGCCGCGCCGCTGCCCGGCCAGTCGAAACCTCTGGATGAAATCGGCCTGGCTGAAGGCGAACGGGCACTGCTGCGCCGGCGTGCAGGCTCTCAGCCACGCCAGCGCGGGGTCGAGGAGCAGCTTGAAGTCCGGCGCGTCCACGACCACGGTCTCGTCGAACTGGTGCGTCTTGCTCGCGACCGTGAACTCGAACCGGTGGAGCACCAGCGACCAAGTGCCGTACCGGCTGCCCCTGAGAAGCGGCACCATCATCTCCCGCTTCAGCTTGAAGCCCTCGCTGGGCCTGAAGTAGCAGTGGAAACTCAGCACCACCAGCACGGATGTCGCCCAGTACCCGTCCAGCACCAGCTGCTCCGCGAGCAGCGCCACCGCCTCCCACGGCAGCGGAAGGCGAGTGCGGCCTGGCGCGAGCCGGCGCCACCCGCGGAGGGACTGCCCCGCTCGCGGCAGGCTGCGACCCCCGGACTTGCCGAAGGCAGGCAGGTGGAACTTCGCCACGGCCATCATCTGCGACCCGACGTACGCCTGCTCGCCGTTCAGGAACTCCTCGTCCATCCAGAGAGCCAGCCAGTCGTCGAGGTGGTCCTCGAACGTCGCCCCCCGCGCCTCGCGCTCCCGAAGCTGCACCGCCTCGGGCGTGCTCGCCAGACGGCGCCACTCGAGGAAGCGACGCCAGGCCACCTCGTACTTGGCCAGAGTCAGAGCCGTCACCGAGCGCTGCTGCAGGCGCGTCCGCCCCGCCGGGGGAGCCCCCCGCGAGGCCTCCTGCCTCTGGCGCCGCTGCGCACGCGCCCGACGCGCGGCGAACTGAGGCGGCGGCCGCTCCGCCTTCGGCGCGGCAGCCCGCGGCCTGCGAGCAGCCGGCAGACGCCGCTTGGTCCCCGCTCCAGACTGAGGCCACGGGCCGCCGCCGTCGCCGCGCGGCAAGGCCGCCTCCGGCGGGGCCGTCGGCGCCCAGCTCGCGGAGCTCCGCGGCAACGGCCTGGCAGTCTCGGCGGTGACTACCCTCGGCTCCGCCACGAACAGGCCAGCGGCTCCCCTCGACAGCGTCGGCGCCACAGACGAACGGAAGGCGGGCGCCGATGGGCACGCGCCGCCGCGAGGGAGCATCAGCAGGGTTGCGCTCCGAAGGCAGCCAGCGCAGCGTCGGCACGAGCGCCCCCGCGAGGCACCATGCCGCCCACTGCCGCGCGACCCGCATCAGGCCAGGCGACGAGGACCGGCCCTTGGTAAGAGCCAATGCCGATGACAGGCTGTCTGACAGGAAGAGCACCCGCTTTCCGAACATCCGGCTGTCCCTCAGGGCGTGACGAACGGCATGAACGAGGGCTCGACCTTCGAGAACCACGATGTGCTCAGGACGTCCCCAGCCCCCGCTCGACACGACCTGCCACTCCCCGTCGAGCACCGCCGCCGGCACGTCGAGCACCGGGCTGGGCCCTCGCGGGCCCGTCGGCGCCTCCTCGTCCAGGCAGCCCCTGGGCCGCGCCTGCCCCGCGGCCCCGGGCGGTCCGCGAAACCTCCAGCGATCGCTCTCCTGGCCCAGAGCCCGCGCCCAGCCGAGGTCCACCTCCCGCTGCACGACCCCGCGCCCCTGCTCACTAGCGTCGGTGGCGTACACGCGTGTCTCCCACTCGGCCCGCAGATTTGCCCACAAGAGCGGCAGAAGACCTACGGCCCAGCGAAGCTCCCGGCGAACTCCATCCGACATCGGTCGAGCAACGTCTCTGTACTTAGTGGCGAATCGATACACTGAGTCGAAGATTGACAGAAAGGGCCTCCGAGCGAGCCCTGCAAAAGTGAAATGTCCTACGATCCTACTGACCTGTCTACCTGTGGCCACCCCCCGGTCGAGAAGGGCCAAAGTCCCTATCCTCAGACGCCAGAGCCTACGGGCCCGCGGCCTCAGGACGCCCCGAGAGCCCTCGAATTCCCACCCAAGACTTTCGAAAGCCATGGAGGCCTCTTCGGGCTCATGCAGAGGCAAACCGGCAGCGGACAGCGACTCCGTCGCTTTAGCCAGGAGCTCGTTGGCCCGCTCGGCGGAGGTGGCGAAGCCTAAAAAATTATCGACATTTTCGGCGTGCATCCCGAGGCTCAGCGGAGGTGGGACCCGACCGTCGACAAGACGATCACTATCTCCCAAACCCGCTCGCTCGCACAACACAGTCTCATGCACGCGCTGACAAAAGGCTAGAGCATCGGACCAACCCATCGGAAGGACAGCAAAACGGGGCCTAACCCAATCACGAGGACCGAGAGGCTGTCCCTCCAGCTCAGTGATCCCGAGGTCTCCAGCCCGGACGCGAGGGGGGACGAAGAAGGGGCGGAGGGCGGAGGGAAGACCCATGTGATAGAATGCGTCACAAATGTCAACGCCTGACATCCACATATTTTTTCCATCAGGAATCCCGATGGAGGACAGACTGGCACCTGATGCCAAAGATACGTGCTCGGGATCTTCAAAATGAAAGTTACTGCCTCGACAGTCAACAACCAGTCTCTGCGAACCATTCTTTTTCCACACCGCGAACAAACCCACCTCCTCGCGCACTTCGACCGAATCGGGGACGAGGTCGAGCATGCCAGCGTTCAACAGTCGCCGAGCGAACACCGCGCGGCGCGCTGGATCCCGCAGGCAGGGATCGAGGTAGGGCTTGGAAAACTTAGCCTCAGCCTTCCGCTCCGCAGCAAGCCGACTTGGCAAAATCTTGCTGTCGAGAAAGACATTGACAAAATCGGGGCCGTTCCGCCCAAGCAGATCCTCCAGAGGGCGCGCGACTGCACCCGCCTTCGGCAGCGAGACGAGGTCGAATGTCAAAGGGGCCAGCGTCTGAGGCTCTTCAGCGCCATAAGCTGGACTGACCTGAAGCTCCCGTAAGGCCGCGTCGGCCGTGAGGTCAGGCGGTGGGCTGCCCAGTTCTGCACAGCAGCTGGTGAGGTGCTCGAGCGCCAGCTCCTGAATGCGACAGGGTGTCGCCAAAGGCCGTCGCCGAAGTTGATCCCCCCCAACGTCCATCTGGTTCAATGCCTGAACCAGGTCACAGAGCAGCTCCGCCTGACGTGCCCGCCCAGCAGCACGGCCTCGGCCGCGACGCCCGCCAGCGCGTCCAGCAGCAGCCGAGCGCCAGGCCGGCAGCGGCAGCGGCAGCAGCGACCGGTTGCGGTCTCCGCCAGCCGCCTTGTCCCCCTCGGTCACGCCGCGCGGGTCGGGGAGCCCCGGCGGCGGGTGGTGCATCATCCCTTCGCGGGAGGAGCCTTCTTGGCCAGGGCGGCCTGCTCCTCCCGCAACTTCCTCGCGTTCTTCTTGATGCCTGCGATCCTCTCCAACTCCTTCGCCACCTGATCCAGCACTTCTGGGCGCACCATGCTGGCGGCCCGGCCCACTCCCATGAAGGCCTGCACCTCGTCCAGCGGCAGCTTGGAGTTGGCCTGATGCGGCTCCTGACGCCGCTCGTCCCAGTAGTACTCGATCAGCTGGGGCTTGCGGTACGCGACCTCCACCCCAGCCAGGTTGTAGATGTCCACCTGGTCGGTCGTACCGAGCAGCTCGACCACCTTGCTCAACGTCTCGTGCTCGGCCACCCCGAAGTCGCTGTCCTGAAGACGGCGCCTGCTCCTCCACATCTCTGAGTGGAGCACCGGCCCTCCGTCTCGCTGCTGGTAGGCCGCGCACCACTTCACCGACCTCGGGGCCTTCACGCCGAAGTCTTGGACCTCCTCCTCGCGGCAGTCGGTGACGACCGAGGCCCACGATCGCTCTCGGCCGATCGCGGTCCTCACCACGGGCAGCGTCCGCGCATCTGAACCCCTGAACTCCCGCTTGAGGTGCTCGATCTCCGTGTCCGCCACGAGGGCGACGAAGACCGAGTGCCCGCTGGGCAGCAGGGCCACCTGCCGGCGACCGGCGCCGCCGGCGAGGGTAGGGCCTCCTGCTGCGCCGACGTCCACCGAGTCCCCGTGCGTCACGAGCCCCGCCGCGTCCTCCAGCGCGCGCCAGCTCCAACCCATGGGGGGCCATGCCGTTCGCCGGGACGACGATCGGCAGGCCGTCTGGGATGGCCGGCGGCCGCCCCTGGGGCGCCGCGCCCGCGGCCGCAGCCGCGCCGGCGGCGAGGGCCCCCACGGCGACTGGCGCTGCGGGTGCCGCTGCCGCAGGCGGAGCCGGCGCCAGCGCAAGGCCCGGCGCGGGCCCGCCCGCGATCGGCGCCGGCGCGGCGGGCCAGGCCGCAAGGGGCACCACCGCCCCAGCAGGTGCCGCACCCGCAGCCGCGGCCCCTGGCCCGGCAGCCCCGCCCGCACCAGCCATCACGCCGGCGATCGACTCGAACGGCACGAATTCGTTGTCAGGGATCGGGGCCCCTGGGCCGCCAGCCGCTCTGTCGTCTGCAACCCACAGCCTCTCGGCCTCGGCGCGGGCGGCCCCCCGCATCGCTGCATACTCCTGGCCTGTGGGCTCGTCTCTGAACCTGTACACTTGTGCGCGCGGCACTGTCGCCGGTGGCGGCCACCTCGTTGGACTGAACACCACGCGCGCGATGTCCGCGCCCATCGATCCTGCTCGGTAGTCCTCCTCGTACACGTCAAGGTCAGGCGTCGCTATCAGGACTCGCCCCAGCTCAGTCGCCGAGCACGCCCCGCGCCGGCAGCCCACTACCCGGCGCTGGTGGTATACTGGGGCCCCCGGCACAGTGTACAGCACGAAGGCCCACTC